AAATAGCTGGCTTCAAACTAAACTCCGCTAGTCAGCTATTCAAATAGTTTAATATAGGATATTTTTTTTAACGGCTAAAATAGGGTAATTTTTTTTTTTAAAATTAAAAATTTAAAATTTAAATTACATAATATGTAGTTAAAATAAATTAAGAAATAAAAAAATAGTTATTTTTTATTATATAATCTAAAATAAAAAAACTAAACTTTAGTATTAATATAATATGTAGTTAAAGTAAATTAAGAAATAAAAAATAATTATTTTTTATTATATAATCTAAAATAAAAAAACTAAACTTCAGTATTAATATAATATATTGAAATAATATAATATAATCTAAATTATATTAAATTATATAATATTAATTATTAAAAAAAATTATTTCCCTTAATATTAAAAACTTCTTTTTATTTATTGAATTATATTTTATAATTTAAATTAAACTAAATCATAAAATAAAATTTTCATAATGTACATATATCTGCTGCTGTACGGCTGTTTTGTTTTTGTAATGCAAAGTTACATGAAAAGTGTACAATCTTGTTCACCACTACAACCTACATGCTCACATAAACCAACATTCAAAGTTTCAAACACAGAAGAAACCAAACCAAATGCCATAACCTCTGATGCACTGTTCTCAATTAAATGCTCACCATCGTGGATGGCGATAAAAAAAGTAAGTACTACCAAATTTAAATTTCAATTAGCGGTGAACTAGTCAAATCAAACAAATTTTTACCCTTTTCTGGGTTATACGTACAAAAATGGCTTTTTTTAAAATCCTGCAAAAAATAAAGTTGATATCAATATTAATTGAAACAAACTTGTAATTGTAAAAGAAATAAACCAATAAGATTAAAATTAAATGAAGAAAGAAAATGAGAGAAATTAAAGGAGATGAAATTAAAGGAAGGAATGTATGAAGAAAAGAGAGTGTGAGAAAATGGAAGAGAGGATGAGGGGATGAATGAAAGAAAAGGGAAAGTGAAGAAAAGAGAAGATGAGAAAAAGGAAGAAATGAGAGAAAAAGGAAAAAATGAGAGAAAAAGGAAAAAATGAAGAAAATGATGGAAGTAAAGAGAAATGAGGAGGGGAAGTAATTAAAAGGAAGAGAAAGATGAGAAAGATGAGTGTGGAAGACGGAATGAAGCGAAAAGCAAAATGAAGGAAGAAGGAAATGAGTAAAATACAGTTCAAAGTACTTAAACTGTTTTTATAGGGTTTAGATTGTTTTAGTCAAGAATTTTGACCAAAATAATTTTGGTGGATAATTCAAAATGTTTTACTTGATTTGTGGAGACAAAACATTAATTTTGGATAACAATTTTGGCCAAACTAATTTTGGTAGAAAATTCAAGAAATTTCACTTAATTCTTGGAGCTAAAACAATAAAACATTTTTAAAAAAAGATATAGTTATTTTGATCAAGATACTCGACCAAAATAGTTTCATAGAAAAAAAAGGGGGGGAGGGGGAAGAAAGCGCTATACTTAAACAAATTTTTTTTTTTTTTAAAAGGAGAGTTATTTCGGTCAAGATGCTTGATCGAAATAATTTCATAGAAGATTAAAAAAAATTTAGGAAATAAAGTACCATACTAATACAAATTTTTTTAAAAAGAAACAATTATTTTGGTCAAAAATTTTTATTGAAAAACATAATTAAATTAAAACAAAAATTACTTAATTAATTCAATCAAAATTCGTAACCGAAATGCTTACTATTTTATTATTAATATAATTTAGATAAAATATTTGATTAAATTAATTATCGCGCCAATTGGCGCTCTTTGATTTTGGTCAATATTTTTGGCTAAAATAATTTTAGATGAAATTACTATGTTAAATATCTTTTAATCAGATTAAAATATATTTTGATCAAAATAATTAACCAAATTAAGTTTTTTCCTGTCAAAATATTTTCTTATTCAAAATATTTTACCTAAAATAAAGCTTTTTCTAGTAGTGATGAGAACATTTTTCACTTTGAATTTGTTGCTTCAAGTTGATGACTTTTACTAATTTACTTTTCTTTGAGTCATCTAGAACTAGTCCCTCCATTAATGACTTTTCCAAATTCACTTTTTTTTAAAAATATATATTTATATTTATGATGTAATCTAGAACAATAAGATGTGCTTTGTTATGAAATGTAAAACAGATGACTTTGCATCTTTGACTGAAAACTGGGGATTTAGGATAAGGGGGGAATATTACAAAGTCAGGACCATCCCTAAAGCTTGAGCCATGGTTGGAACCGTCTCGTTATGGGTGCACTGCCAATGCAACTACTGTTGCAAGTGCACATCTTTGACTGTATCTGTTTCATTGCATAATATGTAGCTCTGTTAAATTGAAAAGGAAATGTTTTTTTTTTTGTCTATATTAACCTCCCGAAATTTGACAATCATATTAAGTATGACTAATTTGAAATCAATTAGCATCAAACTCCATAAAAATAAATTCTTTCGGTGTTTGTTTTTTTATTTATAAAACTTGAATTTAAAATTTTGTATAAAAAAATTAAATTTTTTTCACTCAAATTAATAGTTACTTCATAAATTGAAAGGAAATGTTGACAAATGATGCTTTGACGAAAATTATCTATGACGTGCAACGCGGGGTGCCATTCCTAGCAATAAGAGAAAAAAATAGATGCTCGGATGAGATTTTTTGGCTAATGGGCTTGACCAGTTACGCAATCCTCAAACCATTTTCTATAATCCGCAATCCGCAATCCTCAAAGCTAGGCTAATCTGACTCGGCCTCCTTTAATTGATTTGGGCTAGCCTGGTGAAGCCTTCCACTCTTGCACATGTCCTTCTATGATAGGTCGATTTGGTATTCTTGGCTAGACTCAAATAGCTGGCTTCAAACTAAACTCCGCTAGTCAGCTATTCAAATAGTTTAATATAGGATATTTTTTTTAACGGCTAAAATAGGGTAATTTTTTTTTTTAAAATTAAAAATTTAAAATTTAAATTACATAATATGTAGTTAAAATAAATTAAGAAATAAAAAAATAGTTATTTTTTATTATATAATCTAAAATAAAAAAACTAAACTTTAGTATTAATATAATATGTAGTTAAAGTAAATTAAGAAATAAAAAATAATTATTTTTTATTATATAATCTAAAATAAAAAAACTAAACTTCAGTATTAATATAATATATTGAAATAATATAATATAATCTAAATTATATTAAATTATATAATATTAATTATTAAAAAAAATTATTTCCCTTAATATTAAAAACTTCTTTTTATTTATTGAATTATATTTTATAATTTAAATTAAACTAAATCATAAAATAAAATTTTCATAATGTACATATATCTGCTGCTGTACGGCTGTTTTGTTTTTGTAATGCAAAGTTACATGAAAAGTGTACAATCTTGTTCACCACTACAACCTACATGCTCACATAAACCAACATTCAAAGTTTCAAACACAGAAGAAACCAAACCAAATGCCATAACCTCTGATGCACTGTTCTCAATTAAATGCTCACCATCGTGGATGGCGATAAAAAAAGTAAGTACTACCAAATTTAAATTTCAATTAGCGGTAAACTAGTCAAATCAAACAAAATTTTACCCTTTTCTGTGTTATACGTACAAAAATGGTTTTTTATCATGCAAAACATGAGCCTATAAATAGGGCCGGCGTCGGCACCACAGGGTATCATTGCAGTGTATATTTTGCGAATAAAAAGGCTCTTCTTGATGTCGATGAGAATTTATTTTTGATATTTAAGGGCGTATGGTAAAATTTAAAAAGATATTTATTTTAAAAGTATTGTATATTTTATAAATTTAAAATTTTATTTAAAAAGTTTTTAAAATTTTACTTTAAAATAAATTTTAAGTAAATTTATAAAAAAAATTGAGATATTTAGATTTTTTAAATTTATTTAAAGACTCATTTAAAAAAAAGTTAATTTTTGAATTATTTTTTGATAAAAATTTAAATTTATAAAATATAAATAATACTTTTAAAATAAATTCTTTTTAAATTTTATCCAATACTCTCATTATTACGCTAGAGACTATCACTAGTTAATAGTTATGCTCTCAATCTTTTGTACTACCACTTACAATTTAACAAGACATTTCAATTATGGCAAGACATCCACTCTTAAGTTTTAAATTGAAAAGATAATAATATATATATTTTTTATTTTAATTGTATAATAAAAAATAATTATTTTTTATTGTTTATCTCACTTTATTTACATGTCATACAACTCAAACTCATAATTTTATATTTTTAACAAAATAAATAATAATTAAATTATTTAAATAGTTGACAATAATAACATCTTTTATAAATCTAGAGGCAAACAAACAAAAATGTATTTTTACCATGCAAAACGTGAGTCTAGGGTGGCGTGGGCCATAGGCACAAACAGGGTATCATGGCAGTGTATATATTTGGCAAACAAGAGGCACTTCTTGATGCCGACGGCAATTTATCTTTTGACATAACCGTGCCGGAGACTATTTACCAACCACGTCGTCAACTTATTATGTCACCTTTTGTCCATTTAATAGCACAATTCGTCAACATTACCTAACTTTAAGGTCGAAAAGTATAAAATATCTTTGATAAATAAAGAGGCACATAGATTAAT